GGTCACCTCATTCACCTCCCTCCCTTACTGCACCACTAGCCACTTCCCGTCCCAGCGACATGGTCACCTCATTCACCTCCCTCCCTTACTGCACCACTAGCCACTTCCCGTCCCAGCGACATGGTCACCTCATTCACCTCCCTCCCTTACTGCACCACTAGCCACTTCCCGTCCCAGCGACATGGTCACCTCATTCACCTCCCTCCCTTACTGCACCACTAGCCACTTCCCGTCCCAGCGACATGGTCACCTCATTCACCTCCCTCCCTTACTGCACCACTAGCCACTTCCCGTCCCAGCGACATGGTCACCTCATTCACCTCCCTCCCTTACTGCACCACTAGCCACTTCCCGTCCCAGCGACATGGTCACCTCATTCACCTCCCTCCCTTACTGCACCACTAGCCACTTCCCGTCCCAGCGACATGGTCACCTCATTCACCTCCCTCCCTTACTGCACCACTAGCCACTTCCCGTCCCAGCGACATGGTCACCTCATTCACCTCCCTCCCTTACTGCACCACTAGCCACTTCCCGTCCCAGCGACATGGTCACCTCATTCACCTCCCTCCCTTACTGCACCACAAGCCACTTCCCGTCCCAGCGACATGGTCACCTCATTCACCTCCCTCCCTTACTGCACCACAAGCCACTTCCCGTCCCAGCGACATGGTCACCGCATTCACCTCCCTCCCTTACTGCACCACTAGCCACTTCCCGCCCCAGCGACATGGTCACCTCATTCACCTCCCTCCCTTACTGCACCACAAGCCACTTCCCGTCCCAGCGACATGGTCACCTCATTCACCTCCCTCCCTTACTGCACCACTAGCCACTTCCCGTCCCAGCGACATGGTCACCTCATTCACCTCCCTCCCTTACTGCACCACTAGCCACTTCCCGTCCCAGCGACATGGTCACCTCATTCACCTCCCTCCCTTACTGCACCACTAGCCACTTCCCGTCCCAGCGACATGGTCACCTCATTCACCTCCCTCCCTTACTGCACCACTAGCCACTTCCCGTCCCAGCGACATGGTCACCTCATTCACCTCCCTCCCTTACTGCACCACAAGCCACTTCCCGTCCCAGCGACATGGTCACCTCATTCACCTCCCTCCCTTACTGCACCACAAGCCACTTCCCGTCCCAGCGACATGGTCACCTCATTCACCTCCCTCCCTTACTGCACCACTAGCCACTTCCCGTCCCAGCGACATGGTCACCTCATTCACCTCCCTCCCTTACTGCACCACAAGCCACTTCCCGTCCCAGCGACATGGTCACCTCATTCACCTCCCTCCCTTACTGCACCACTAGCCACTTCCCGTCCCAGCGACATGGTCACCTCATTCACCTCCCTCCCTTACTGCACCACTAGCCACTTCCCGTCCCAGCGACATGGTCACCTCATTCACCTCCCTCCCTTACTGCACCACAAGCCACTTCCCGTCCCAGCGACATGGTCACCTCATTCACCTCCCTCCCTTACTGCACCACTAGCCACTTCCCGTCCCAGCGACATGGTCACCTCATTCACCTCCCTCCCTTACTGCACCACTAGCCACTTCCCGTCCCAGCGACATGGTCACCTCATTCACCTCCCTTCCTTACTGCACCACTAGCCACTTCCCGTCCCAGCGACATGGTCACCTCATTCACCTCCCTCCCTTACTGCACCACTAGCCACTTCCCGTCCCAGCGACATGGTCACCTCATTCACCTCCCTCCCTTACTGCACCACTAGCCACTTCCCGTCCCAGCGACATGGTCACCTCATTCACCTCCCTCCCTTACTGCACCACAAGCCACTTCCCGTCCCAGCGACATGGTCACCTCATTCACCTCCCTCCCTTACTGCACCACAAGCCACTTCCCGTCCCAGCGACATGGTCACCTCATTCACCTCCCTCCCTTACTGCACCACAAGCCACTTCCCGTCCCAGCGACATGGTCACCTCATTCACCTCCCTCCCTTACTGCACCACAAGCCACTTCCCGTCCCAGCGACATGGTCACCTCATTCACCTCCCTCCCTTACTGCACCACTAGCCACTTCCCGTCCCAGCGACATGGTCACCTCATTCACCTCCCTCCCTTACTGCACCACTAGCCACTTCCCGTCCCAGCGACATGGTCACCTCATTCACCTCCCTCCCTTACTGCACCACTAGCCACTTCCCGTCCCAGCGACATGGTCACCTCATTCACCTCCCTCCCTTACTGCACCACTAGCCACTTCCCGTCCCAGCGACATGGTCACCTCATTCACCTCCCTCCCTTACTGCACCACAAGCCACTTCCCGTCCCAGCGACATGGTCACCTCATTCACCTCCCTCCCTTACTGCACCACAAGCCACTTCCCGTCCCAGCGACATGGTCACCTCATTCACCTCCCTCCCTTACTGCACCACTAGCCACTTCCCGTCCCAGCGACATGGTCACCTCATTCACCTCCCTCCCTTACTGCACCACAAGCCACTTCCCGTCCCAGCGACATGGTCACCTCATTCACCTCCCTCCCTTACTGCACCACTAGCCACTTCCCGTCCCAGCGACATGGTCACCTCATTCACCTCCCTCCCTTACTGCACCACAAGCCACTTCCCGTCCCAGCGACATGGTCACCTCATTCACCTCCCTCCCTTACTGCACCACTAGCCACTTCCCGTCCCAGCGACATGGTCACCTCATTCACCTCCCTCCCTTACTGCACCACTAGCCACTTCCCGTCCCAGCGACATGGTCACCTCATTCACCTCCCTCCCTTACTGCACCACTAGCCACTTCCCGTCCCAGCGACATGGTCACCTCATTCACCTCCCTCCCTTACTGCACCACTAGCCACTTCCCGTCCCAGCGACATGGTCACCTCATTCACCTCCCTCCCTTACTGCACCACTAGCCACTTCCCGTCCCAGCGACATGGTCACCTCATTCACCTCCCTCCCTTACTGCACCACTAGCCACTTCCCGTCCCAGCGACATGGTCACCTCATTCACCTCCCTCCCTTACTGCACCACTAGCCACTTCCCGTCCCAGCGACATGGTCACCTCATTCACCTCCCTCCCTTACTGCACCACAAGCCACTTCCCGTCCCAGCGACATGGTCACCTCATTCACCTCCCTCCCTTACTGCACCACAAGCCACTTCCCGTCCCAGCGACATGGTCACCTCATTCACCTCCCTCCCTTACTGCACCACTAGCCACTTCCCGTCCCAGCGACATGGTCACCTCATTCACCTCCCTCCCTTACTGCACCACAAGCCACTTCCCGTCCCAGCGACATGGTCACCTCATTCACCTCCCTCCCTTACTGCACCACTAGCCACTTCCCGTCCCAGCGACATGGTCACCTCATTCACCTCCCTCCCTTACTGCACCACAAGCCACTTCCCGTCCCAGCGACATGGTCACCTCATTCACCTCCCTCCCTTACTGCACCACTAGCCACTTCCCGTCCCAGCGACATGGTCACCTCATTCACCTCCCTCCCTTACTGCACCACTAGCCACTTCCCGTCCCAGCGACATGGTCACCTCATTCACCTCCCTCCCTTACTGCACCACAAGCCACTTCCCGTCCCAGCGACATGGTCACCTCATTCACCTCCCTCCCTTACTGCACCACAAGCCACTTCCCGTCCCAGCGACATGGTCACCTCATTCACCTCCCTCCCTTACTGCACCACTAGCCACTTCCCGTCCCAGCGACATGGTCACCTCATTCACCTCCCTCCCTTACTGCACCACTAGCCACTTCCCGTCCCAGCGACATGGTCACCTCATTCACCTCCCTCCCTTACTGCACCACTAGCCACTTCCCGTCCCAGCGACATGGTCACCTCATTCACCTCCCTCCCTTACTGCACCACTAGCCACTTCCCGTCCCAGCGACATGGTCACCTCATTCACCTCCCTCCCTTACTGCACCACTAGCCACTTCCCGTCCCAGCGACATGGTCACCTCATTCACCTCCCTCCCTTACTGCACCACAAGCCACTTCCCGTCCCAGCGACATGGTCACCTCATTCACCTCCCTCCCTTACTGCACCACAAGCCACTTCCCGTCCCAGCGACATGGTCACCTCATTCACCTCCCTCCCTTACTGCACCACTAGCCACTTCCCGTCCCAGCGACATGGTCACCTCATTCACCTCCCTCCCTTACTGCACCACAAGCCACTTCCCGTCCCAGCGACATGGTCACCTCATTCACCTCCCTCCCTTACTGCACCACTAGCCACTTCCCGTCCCAGCGACATGGTCACCTCATTCACCTCCCTCCCTTACTGCACCACAAGCCACTTCCCGTCCCAGCGACATGGTCACCTCATTCACCTCCCTCCCTTACTGCACCACTAGCCACTTCCCGTCCCAGCGACATGGTCACCTCATTCACCTCCCTCCCTTACTGCACCACTAGCCACTTCCCGTCCCAGCGACATGGTCACCTCATTCACCTCCCTCCCTTACTGCACCACTAGCCACTTCCCGTCCCAGCGACATGGTCACCTCATTCACCTCCCTCCCTTACTGCACCACTAGCCACTTCCCGTCCCAGCGACATGGTCACCTCATTCACCTCCCTCCCTTACTGCACCACTAGCCACTTCCCGTCCCAGCGACATGGTCACCTCATTCACCTCCCTCCCTTACTGCACCACTAGCCACTTCCCGTCCCAGCGACATGGTCACCTCATTCACCTCCCTCCCTTACTGCACCACTAGCCACTTCCCGTCCCAGCGACATGGTCACCTCATTCACCTCCCTCCCTTACTGCACCACAAGCCACTTCCCGTCCCAGCGACATGGTCACCTCATTCACCTCCCTCCCTTACTGCACCACAAGCCACTTCCCGTCCCAGCGACATGGTCACCTCATTCACCTCCCTCCCTTACTGCACCACTAGCCACTTCCCGTCCCAGCGACATGGTCACCTCATTCACCTCCCTCCCTTACTGCACCACAAGCCACTTCCCGTCCCAGCGACATGGTCACCTCATTCACCTCCCTCCCTTACTGCACCACTAGCCACTTCCCGTCCCAGCGACATGGTCACCTCATTCACCTCCCTCCCTTACTGCACCACAAGCCACTTCCCGTCCCAGCGACATGGTCACCTCATTCACCTCCCTCCCTTACTGCACCACTAGCCACTTCCCGTCCCAGCGACATGGTCACCTCATTCACCTCCCTCCCTTACTGCACCACTAGCCACTTCCCGTCCCAGCGACATGGTCACCTCATTCACCTCCCTCCCTTACTGCACCACAAGCCACTTCCCGTCCCAGCGACATGGTCACCTCATTCACCTCCCTCCCTTACTGCACCACAAGCCACTTCCCGTCCCAGCGACATGGTCACCTCATTCACCTCCCTCCCTTACTGCACCACTAGCCACTTCCCGTCCCAGCGACATGGTCACCTCATTCACCTCCCTCCCTTACTGCACCACTAGCCACTTCCCGTCCCAGCGACATGGTCACCTCATTCACCTCCCTCCCTTACTGCACCACTAGCCACTTCCCGTCCCAGCGACATGGTCACCTCATTCACCTCCCTCCCTTACTGCACCACTAGCCACTTCCCGTCCCAGCGACATGGTCACCTCATTCACCTCCCTCCCTTACTGCACCACAAGCCACTTCCCGTCCCAGCGACATGGTCACCTCATTCACCTCCCTCCCTTACTGCACCACTAGCCACTTCCCGTCCCAGCGACATGGTCACCTCATTCACCTCCCTCCCTTACTGCACCACTAGCCACTTCCCGTCCCAGCGACATGGTCACCTCATTCACCTCCCTCCCTTACTGCACCACAAGCCACTTCCCGTCCCAGCGACATGGTCACCTCATTCACCTCCCTCCCTTACTGCACCACTAGCCACTTCCCGTCCCAGCGACATGGTCACCTCATTCACCTCCCTCCCTTACTGCACCACAAGCCACTTCCCGTCCCAGCGACATGGTCACCTCATTCACCTCCCTCCCTTACTGCACCACTAGCCACTTCCCGTCCCAGCGACATGGTCACCTCATTCACCTCCCTCCCTTACTGCACCACTAGCCACTTCCCGTCCCAGCGACATGGTCACCTCATTCACCTCCCTCCCTTACTGCACCACTAGCCACTTCCCGTCCCAGCGACATGGTCACCTCATTCACCTCCCTCCCTTACTGCACCACTAGCCACTTCCCGTCCCAGCGACATGGTCACCTCATTCACCTCCCTCCCTTACTGCACCACTAGCCACTTCCCGTCCCAGCGACATGGTCACCTCATTCACCTCCCTCCCTTACTGCACCACTAGCCACTTCCCGTCCCAGCGACATGGTCACCTCATTCACCTCCCTCCCTTACTGCACCACTAGCCACTTCCCGTCCCAGCGACATGGTCACCTCATTCACCTCCCTCCCTTACTGCACCACTAGCCACTTCCCGTCCCAGCGACATGGTCACCTCATTCACCTCCCTCCCTTACTGCACCACTAGCCACTTCCCGTCCCAGCGACATGGTCACCTCATTCACCTCCCTCCCTTACTGCACCACTAGCCACTTCCCGTCCCAGCGACATGGTCACCTCATTCACCTCCCTCCCTTACTTTTGAGAATTCTCAAAAGTGAGAATTCTCAAAAGTCACCTCATTCACCTCCCTCCCTTACTGCACCACTAGCCACTTCCCGTCCCAGCGACATGGTCACCTCATCTAGCGACATGGTCACCTCATCTAGCGACATGGTCACCTCATCCCAGCGACATGGTCACCTCATCTAGCGACATGGTCACCTCATCCCAGCGACATGGTCCCCTCATCTAGCGACATGGTCACCTCATCTAGCGACATGGTCACCTCATCCCAGCGACATGGTCACCTCATCTAGCGACATGGCCACCTCATCTAGCGACATGGTCACCTCATCTAGCAACATGGTTACCTCATCCCAGCGACATGGTCACCTCATCTAGCGACATGGTCACCTCATCTAGCGACATGGTCACCTCATCCCAGCGACATGGTCACCTCATCTAGCGACATGGTCACCTCATCTAGCGACATGGTCACCTCATCCCAGCGACATGGTCACCTCATCCCAGCGACATGGTCACCTCATCTAGCGACATGGTCACCTCATCTAGCGACATGGTCACCTCATCTAGCGACATGGTCACCTCATCTAGCGACATGCTCACCTCATCTAGCGACACGGTCACCTCATCTAGCGACATGGTCACCTCATCTAGCGACATGGTCACCTCATCTAGCGACATGGTCACCTCATCTAGCGACATGGTCACCTCATCTGCGTGTCATCGTGCTCCCACCCCTCGCTTACCCCTCCCACTCCACACAACATCCCTCACAGGTATGGCATGGCATCTCCAACGCCCTTCTTCCCTCTCCTACCCACCGTCCCCCTTGGCCAGCTGTAAGGCGGCATCATCTGACTCGTCCAAACACACCCAAACCCATCCAAACCCAGCCAATCCCACCCAAACACACACAAATCCACGCAAATCCATCCAAAACCACCCCAACCCACCCCAAGTTCCCCCTAAGCCCCCCCTACCCCCCAAATCCTCCTCACACCCCCTCACAGCCCCCCCAAACCAGCCCCCCAATCCCTGGCATGGCATGGTCTTCCCCCTATCCCTGGCATGGCATGGTCCCCCCCTATCCTATCCTTGGCAGGTCATGGCACCGGCATTGCCCCCAGCAATGTGCGAGAGGCGTTCCTACTTTTTTCGTTTCATCTTTGTCTTCTTCTTTCTGTCCTGTTCCTGTTCCTGTTTCTGTCACAAGGCAGCTGGAACAGTAACCGGGCGGCAGGAACAGTTACCGAGTGGCATGAGCAGTAACTGGGCGGCAGGAGCTGTAACTGGGCGGCAGGAACAGTAACCGGGTGGCAGGAGCAGTAACCGGGCAGCAGGAACAGTAACGGGGCTGCAGGAACGGTGACCGGGTCCAGGTCTGTCCCGAACCGACAGGCTTGCAGGGAACAAGCCTCAAACTGACAGGCTTCCCCGTGGCCTAGCCCAAACCGACCCGACAGCTCTTATATCGACACACGCACGCACGAGTACAAACAATCTCCATTTCTATACCCTACCTAAATCTCCTAGTTGAATATTTCTCATGTCTAGGCGGCAAGAGACGCCTTGGCGGGGTGAGAAAGTCTCTTCACAGCGCCTTGCAGGAAGGAGAGAACGCCACCTGCGCAAGGTGGGGTGGGGTGGGGTGGGATGGCAGGATGGCATGTGTGAAGAAAGGTGAGCAGAGTGACCAGAGTGGCAGGATGGCAGGGTATGGCAGAGCATGTGAGTGAGTGAGTGGAGCAGAGCATGCGAGTGAGTGGAGTGGAGCAGAGCAGCAGAGCAAGCGAGCAGGGAGGGCCGAGGGGTGATCAGAGGGAACAAGAGGTGAGCAGAGGGGACAAGAGGTGAGCAGAGGGGACAAGAGATGGGCAGAGAGGAGAAGACGGGTGGTGAAGAGAGGGAGGTGCAGGAGAGGGAAGGACAGGAGGTGAGTACGTCGGACAGAGGAGGCGCAGAAGAGGGGAGGGCAGGAGGGACACGTCGTCATGGTCTCACCTCGTGGCTCTCACCTCGTCAAGTGCAGAGCAAGGGAACGAGGAGTGCAGAGCAAGGGAACGAGGAGTGCAGAGCAAGGGAACGAGGAGTGCAGAGCAAGGGAACGAGGAGTGCAGAGCAAGGGAACGAGGAGTGCAGAGCAAGGGAACGAGGGGGGGAAGGGAATAAGAAGGTAGAGGGAAAAGGGAATAGAGAGGAAGGGAATAAGGAGATCAGGGGAAAAGGGGATAAGGAGGGCAGGGGGGGAAGGGTCTCACCTCGTGCCTCACTAGCTTCGCCCTAGCCTCGCTGAGACGCTGCCCAGCTGCCCCGCCATAAGGCTTTCCGTGATTGGCGGAATGATGGGCGGCGGCGACAGGGAGTTACCCTCGGTATTTCTGGAAGGGGGGTGAGGGATGGGGGGGATGGGTAATGGGGCCACGGAGCTTGCGGGGCGCAAGGACAGCACTGCAGCAAACAGCACCAACTTGAAGCTACGGTACCTGCCTTCAAACAAAAATCTTTGCCACTCTTCTAAACTGACTCTGGACCTGACTGAAAAATATTTAAGAAAAAATAAATAAAAGAGAATACCTTGTGCAAAAATGGATATACCAAGAGAATGCGTTGTGCGCAAGGCCTGACCCGACACCAGCGCGCGACGCGCCGATCTCCGCGTCACCAGTGTTGGGCTGAGAAAAGCCCTTAGGATCTTTTATAGAAGTAAACTCCTGGTAGAAATGATGTAATAGCGGAACCGTTTTAATAAGAATTGTTGAACCACCTCGCGCTGGTATGTGAGGGCAAAGTAGATTAATTAAAGCAAAGAGATACAAGGTTTTTATAAGAGTACAAGGAATAGAAAGGGATTTAACCGATAACTGTTTTACTGTTGCTGTTGCGGTTCGATACAGTGACGACTCGGGCAACCGCTCAATAACGAGTCGGTTGTGTGTCCTTGCTGTCGTACTGTACGTTGTCGAGTCAAAGGTCGCGTGATCTTTGACCTTCGCGTAACCTCCAGCGGTTACCATTTCTTGTCAACCTCCGATGGTTGACTCGCCGTTGCTGCGCTGTTGCTTGCTCCGTTTGTGTTTACTGTTTCGACACGACAGAGGCGCTTAAGTCATTGTTTCCAACACTCCCCTTCGCTTCTGGAGTGTCGCTGTTGGTGACGTGGCTCTGTCCAGTCAGCAGCATGCAGTACTCGAACTTCTGCTTTCCGAGCTTCTTGGTCAAGTAATCGGCTGCCATCTCGGACGTGGGGCAGTATGACAGCTCGAGTCTCCCTTTCTTGATCTCATCCTTCACGAAGAAATATCGCAAGGCGATGTGTTTCGTTCGGTTCGCGAATCCGCTCTTGTTTGCTATGCGGATCGCCGACTGGTTGTCGCAGAACAGGGTGAAGTTGGGTAACTCGGCCAACTTCGCTTCTTCCAATAATTCGCGAAGATACAATCCTTCCTTGGTGGCTGAGCAGAGTGCGATATATTCTGCTTCAGCTGAGGAGAGGGCGATTAGTTCCTGTTTACTTGACTGCCCGATAGGTTCGAGGCGGTAGATGTAGCCTGTGCGCGAGCGCCTGTTGTCAGAATCTCCGCCGTGGTCGGCATCGACGTAGCCGATTAATTTAGGCGTTGTAGTTCCGTTCTTGTAGAAAGTCAGACCGATCGTCGGGGTACTGATGAGGTAGTGAAGAGCACGGTCGAGTTCTGCCATATGTTCTGCTTCGGGTTTCTTGAGGTAGGTGGCGAGCTGACTTGCGGAGTAGGATAGATCCGGACGGCAGGTGACAGCTGCGAAGAGGAGGCAGCCCAGCTTTCTCTGGTAGTCGCGTATGCCGGCGGGCTTTAGCGGAGCAGATCCTTCCTTGTGATTTCCTGCCGTGTAGCGGTATGGCGTAGAGATGATAGTCGGTGTGAGTGCGAAGCGTTTAGCGATGGTTTCGGCGTATTTCGCGGCGCTGAGGTAGATCACATTTTCTTCTTCTTGGATGTTGAGGCCGAGGTATTGCGTGACGGTGGACGAAACCGTGAGCGTAAGGTCTTTCTGCAGCTCCCCTTCGAACCAGGCAGTGACTTCGTCGGTCGAGCCAATGTAGAGTAGGTCGTCTACGTAGACGATTAACAGGAAGTAGTCGGCGCCCTTTGTGAGCCGGTACATGCCTTGGTCGTGAGGTAGCTGACGGAATCCGATGCGATTGAGTCGAGTGTGTAGGTACTGCTACCATAGCCTCGGGGCCTGTTTGATGCCGTACAGGGACTTCAGTAGCTGACAGACATGATTAGGTTCTCCGTTGGACCCGTGTGGTAGTTCAATGAAAATCTCTGCGTCGACAGGTGCGTAGAGGAATGCGTTGGCGACGTCAATTTGCCGCAGCTTCTTCTTCTTCATGGCGGCGATCGCGAGGAGAATTCGCAGCGAGGTGTGTCGGCTGACCGGGGCGAATGTCTCGGTGAAGTTACGCCCGTGTTCTTGGTCGAAGCCGCGTACGACCCAGCGCGCCTTAAACTTGTCGATGGTGCCGTCTGCTTTGGTCTTTACATGGAAGACCCATTTCCCGGTGAAAATTGTTTTGTTTTGTGCCACGCCGATAGGAACGACCTTCCAGGTGTTGCGTTCCTCCAGTGCTTTCAGCTCCCTGTCCATGGCTTCGCGCCATTTTTCCCTATGCTCCCCCCCCAGAGCCTGCTGAACCGTGGCAGGCTCTGTAGGAATCGCCGTGCCGTGAACTGCGGTGACGAGGCCAAGGATCTGGAGGCTGCTCTGTGTGTAGCGGGGGAGTGTGGTGTCCTCGGGATAGACTGCTTCATCTCCCGCTTCTGGATCGGGTGAGAAATTTGGTCCTATGTGTTCTGCTTCGTCGGTGTTGACCCTTGCAGGTGTAACGTAACCAGTGTCGGCGAAGTCGTAGTAGACTTCGGCGTTGATGCTGTCGCGAGGGTTTTCGTCGTCCATGGGAACATCAACCGAACAATAAGGTAGAGGTCCGGCTGCTTCCGAGGCTCCGTCCACGTTCTGCTCGTCCAGGTCAGCTTCGTCGGCTGCCGAGGCAAAGGCTTGGTCACCATGGAATCCGCCTGTGGGGTCCCGGTTTTCTTCTAGGTTGGCAAGGTACGTCGGGAGCGTGAGTCGTTCGTAGAAAATGACATCACGTGCTGCTACTGTTTCTTTTGAGTGGATGTCGAAAATCTTCCACGCGTTGTAGTTCTTTTCGATGCCCAGGTGTAACCCCCACTGAGCGAGTTGGGAGAATCGGCCAGCTCGTGCAGCTGGGGGTCGGTACTGTACCATGCAGCCAAAAACCCGTAAAATTTTTGTACTGCCCAATTTTCCTGTCCACAGCAGATGCGGTGATGCGTTGTTCGGGAGTGACGACGAAGAAAGCAAGTTGTGCAGCATGACAGCGTGGTCCATCGCCTCAGGCCATTGGTTCATCGCCTCAGTTTCCGCATGGTGTTCTGTAGAGTCCTGTTCATTCTTTCTGCCACGCCTTGCTGTTGATGGGCGTAGGGGAGGGAGATGAGCCTTTTGATGCCTCGTTTCGCCAGGTACTGCTTGAATCGCTGTGACTGATATTCTCCTCCCCCGTCTGTTGGAAACTTTTCAGTTTTACTCCTGACTCTCGTTCCGCACCTGGGAGTCAGGCGACGAAGGCCTCGAAGGCCATGTCTCGGCTAGGAAGGTTGAAGTGCCAGACGTAGCGTGTGGCGGCGTCTATGAACGTGATGACATAACTGTATGTTCCTTGTCCGGGTTCACGGTTGTACAGGATGTCGCTGTACACTTTCTCCAGTGGTGCGTACGCTG